TCCTTGTCTAATAATAGTAATATTCCCTTCTCTCATGGGATTCCTCTAAGCTATCGAAGCAACACATTTAGCACACCAGCACATAAGCGCTCTCTCTAAATGGTAGTTGTGAACAATGTTAGAAGGTTCAAAGCAGATCTTTTGTCAGAGGACAGGATTAAATAAGAGTCTTCCAACAATTTTTTTCATGGGTGGTGGATTAGACAGGGATCATGTTCAAATAACTAGAGCTAACGAAATTGCGAAGTTCAGAATTACCTTGTGTTTACTACAGGATGCACTAGACTGCAGGACCCATCACTGACGTAGGTTGTCCAGGGACCTGTGGGTCTGGGAGTGACTAGCCTGGTGTATGACACAGCACCCATGGACCACCAAGAAAACAGAGGCATTTCTGAGAGACTTTTGAGTGCTAGCCCAGTGTACATAAAGAGGCCTTTCTGTTCCCCCACTTTAGGGGAAAAAGTATTAGTAGGGTGAGGTGGTTTGCTCTCACCTATGTGGAATATGTTTCTGATCTTCTCACAGTCTGGATATTTAATATAGATCTTAATATTCATGGGAGAAAGAAACCAAGCCACTCAGATCTAAGTATTAGTTAATCTTTGGGGAGGGTGAAGAGTCAAAGCTGAAATATTCATGAACTAGTTGACGGGGGCCCATCCAGAAGGAAGTTGGGGGAAGTCAAGAATTCTTACATTGCTGTTTGATTTATCATTTTTCCTTGTAGATCGGAAACTTAAAGAAGTGGTAACAGTTCACATTTATATCTACATGTGATAAACATCCACCCTGACATACAAAGCATTTCAATTTATGACTATATCTCAATAGTTGCTATGAGATTTTAAAATAGATAGAAAACAACCATTTTCATTGTCTGGTGATATGGCAACTAAGTTAGTGACACATCATACCATAGTCCACACTGCTGTAGGGCTCCATCTATTGGATCGTCTCAGCAGTGCGTATACCTTGATGGTGAATCTTCTGAATCTGGCTTCTCTTGCACATCTGCCATAAAATTCATCACATAATATGCTGTATGATATTGATGAACTAAAAAAGTTATGTATGCATACATAATATGCATTGCCCTGTGTGTGTCTATTTTTCATTCAAAACATCAAACTAGCTGGTTTGTATTCTTCAAAAATATCATTGTCATGAAACACAAAGCAAGACCACGAAATTGTTCCCTATTTGCCAAATGTGATCCTAGACTGGATCCCGGAACTGGGGTGGGGTAGGCTGGGCTGGGGGGTGAGGGTTTCTGCTAGAGAAATATCATTAGGCATTAGAAAGGCATTATTAGGACAACTTGCAAACTTTGAAGGTATGACCATGTGTTAAAGTTCTGAATTTGATCCTTGTGCTTTGGTTATATAAGAGAATGTCAAGCTTTTAAGAAATATATATTATATTATTTAAAGGGCATGGCATCTTCAATCCACTCTCAAATGTCTCAGAAAAAAAACAGTATATAGATCTATGAAACATATATGGCAAAAAATCGAGCTAAATGGTATATAAACAAAAGTTATTTGTTTTATCCTTGTAATTTTTCTATAAGTTTGAAAACTTACAGAAGAGTTGCAGGAATAAAAATACAAATAAAGTAAAATTATTTATGTGACTGCAATAAGATGAAACTGGCCACAGCATTATGTTTACTCTTCTGCTATCTAGGTAACTGCACATTACATGAAAATACAGTGTAAATGAACCACTGTTGTAGTCATAGGGCCCATTGGAGTAAATGCTCAAGAGATCATTTGTGGAACTTAGAAAGAAACGGCAAAGAGTGCAGTGACATTCCTGATGTCACTGCAGCCCCTATTTTCTTCCTTCAGCATCACTGAGGTATGACTTACCCATGAATCGCCGAAGTTTTGCTCTGAGGCCTGTCAATCATTTCATGACATCATCCCAGCCTCACTGATCAGATGGTCTTGGTACCACGCCTTGGGAAATACTTGCCCAGAACTGACCAGCATTCTTTCTTTCCAGGAGACATTCTCTGTCTCAAGACTATCTGAGTGTGTTGGAACAAACTAATGATCAAATCCATTAAATACAATCAGAAACCCTGAATCATTGTGGTGTCCCCATTACCTCCTTTCAGATATCACCAGTCATTCCTTGATGTTAAAGGATACTTAGGAAGGACAGTTTTGTGGAATGAATGAAGACCCTGATATTCTTGGCATCAGATTCTATGGCTCTGAAACCTCTTAGAATGCATATGGCTGATAACTGCCATTTCACAAACTTTAATGGCATTAAAATAGAAAATAAACCCTTACGATTAAAAAAAATTAGGGAAAAAAAGCAGATGAGCTACATAAAGATATGACTTTAGAAGCCCAAAACATGCGTTTTTGAAGCCAGCCAGATTTTGGCTCAAATTCTGGTACCTCCATTATCAACCTGTGTGCTCTTAGGCCAATCATGTAATCTCTCTGGGAGCTAGTTCTATTAGGTTCATAATATGGATAATACCTTCCTTATATTATAACATGTTATGAGGATCCATCAGTGCCAACTACTATGGAGTCTTGGTTCAATAAATGGTAGTTATCGTTATCTTTACCAAGAGTGTGCAGGAGATGTGTTTGAGAGGGGATTTTAATCACGTTTCCTTCACTAACACAGAGCTCCCAAAGGCCTGGTGGCCACAAGTGAAGCCTCAACTCAAAGACAGTAGAGCCTTTGAAAGGAGCAGAATTAAAGTAGGGTCTGTCCTTTCATGATGCGGCACAAAGAAGCTATTAGTTAACTCAGCAAATATATGCTCTGTAAATCAGCTCAACACGTTTGGGGCGATCACTTTGAAGCAGCACTTTGAAGCAGCATGCTGAGTCAGGGTCCAAGGGGGAGCTTAAAAACTTAGTGACTCTGCCTATGGCCATGTAATCTAAGAAAAAATCCAGGAGAGGCATTCAGGGAATCAATGACTACGCCCTAAAGTTGAATCCAGCAGTCTGAATGTGATCAGAGAGTGCCCAGGTCTATTTCAAAGGAATTTTCAGGAAGCTCATAAGCATTAGCAAGATTTGGAGTTATCTAGGAGAGACTGCTGTCTGGATTATGTGTATTATTGGATGGGTGTTGAAGGAAGAAGACTAGAAATCCAATGATCTTCCTATATCGGTTCAAAACCTCGTATCTGCCAGCTTCCATATTGGGGAAAGACAGTAGCATTACAGGTTATGTGACATTGGATTCAAACAAATAGGACTGGGTTTAAATTCTGGTTCTACTATATATTAACCATGTGAAGTTGCAGAAGTTAATTTCCCAGAACTCAGTTTCCTCATCGATAAACAGCCATATCCACTTTGCAGTTTTGCTCCAAGGGTTCAATGAGTTAATGCATGCAGAAAACTCTTGCACAAAGTGGTAGGTATTTCAACACGTCTTAGTTCCTCCTGTACACTGAACATGGGGGGGAGGAGGCAAAGGAGGGAACCCTGTCCTTCCTCTCCAGTGAAAGCCAACATGGTATTAAGGTATTGAAAACATCAGTGTGACCCATTTAAAAACTTGTTTTACCCCTGGGAATTGATATGAAGGAATCAATATCCTTCGCAATTACCTCCACCCAAATGACTGCACTCCCCACACAAGTGCTGGGGCTGGCAGTGAACCGCTGGTCCCAGTGTGAGCTCTGGGAATTCATGCTATTGGCTGCGTGGACCTCAGCCTCCACTGGTTTGGCAGCTTCTGTGCTGAACTTGGACATGAGCCAATGTCTAAACTCCAACCTTAAGTGAGATTGGTTTAGCATGTCATGCACCTGTCTTTGGGGAAATAGGATTTTCTCCTAGTGGAGTGTCAGTTTCTGGCTTTAATAAATTCAGTGTACATGAAGCTACATCATCTTCCGGTCTCTACCTATTGTCTCAAAGTAATTAGCACCTTCTTTCGTTCTCAGAAGTGACCCAGTTTGGATGACAAATTATATGGTCACCAGCTATGCTCATTAAAATGCAAGTGAAAGCAAGGTGGCTGGATATGATTCCGGGGCCAAGAAAAATTTAAAAAATAAAAGGCTTTAGGGAATTAAAAATTGATGCTTAACATTGAGGAACCAGTGCTACCAGCAGTAGTTGGTAATGACTACTTAAAAAACTGTGTCAATATGTGTACATCTACTAACAGTGGTCCTCTCTAGGGAAAGGAGAGAAATTTGTGTGTGTGTGTGTGTGTGTGTGTGTGTATGTGTGTGTGCGCGCGCGCACGTGCAGGGGAGAGAAAAAGGCAGTGCAGTGGTGTACTGCTGGTAAGCATTTAACAACTGGCTCAATGGAATGGGAAGGGGGGGGATCACTGAGCATGGAAATTGGAAAGGGGTGTAGATAATTAGTTATTGGCAGCATGTAGGAGCTGGCCCAGTATACCACTGAAGGAACTGGACTTTAACACGTATTTTGAAGACTTTTTGTAATGTGCTACTTTTTACATATGTTACTTTTGTAATAATATATGCTGTATCTATGCTATATGTGCATATGCTCTCTTTCTATATATCCACATTTACATAAACTTATTTATATCTATACAAGGATTAGTACTAATTGCAAGTTTCCTAATTTATGCATAAACCTCAATGAAACATCCACTTGAGCCCATAACACATTGCGTGGTCTCCCAAGTCAGACTGTTGTGGGGTTCCCGAAGTCCACCAGGCCCCTGGATGGGATGTCCACTTTACTTCTGATGACCAAGATTTACCCCGCTGGCCTACATCTGGCATAATAAAACATCTGGCTTCAGCGTTGAAGCAGATGCTAAATGGGAAATCTGAAAATGGTTTGAGTGTTACAGGATAAAGTGAGATCTAACTTCCGGCAAGGAGAAAAAAAGATGCAAGTTCAAATGATGAGAAAAACAGAATGGGAGAACAAAAGTGTGAAGTTGTTGTTTATCAACTGCGATTTTGCTCTCTAAGCTGGAGTGTGTCTCGGTAGCTTCTTGCAAGAGTGGGAAGGGAGTGGGGAAGAAACAGTCTGTACTTTCGTTTATTGAATGCAGCTTTCGCTGGTCACATTGCAACTCAATACAAACAGCCCAGCAGAGGGTAGGGCATTAACTCTTGTTCTCATCAATGTAAACACAACATTAATATTGAAGATTAAAGAAAAGGGGTAAAAAGTCCAGTGTCTCCTCGATCTGCGTAAAGGTGAAGGTGGTTGCCTACCCTTGGACAGGTCCCAAAGGGAGACTGAGGTTGTCACCTCTTCCTATCCACAGTGAAGCAGGCAAGAACACAGAGGAACCCAATCACGTTCTTCCTGAAGGTCTCCAAATGGCATGTGAATCTTCTGAATTGGGCTCGTGTGAATTATTAAAGTTCTTCCAAAGGCCTGAGAGGTTCGTACCTTTCGTGTGCACTGAAATGGCTCCTTTAAAGCCCTTTCCCATGAGTCAGTCACTGCCAATAGAAAATGTGACCGGTGTAAAACAGTCAGCCCCCGTGATTCCACAGCCCCCATCATAGCCCCTGGATTGTGGAAAGCAGGGAATTCAAAATCACGGGAGTCTCAGTGATAATCCTGAAGGAAGCTGCCCACCTTTAAATAGTGGTTGAAGACTTTCGTCCTCCTTGCTGGGCCACTGCTGAGAGAGGAACGTTGGTTGAGGCAGCTGATTTTCCTTTAAGCCTTAAAGGATCAGACTTTCTATTTTGGATTGCCAGATCAAAACCAAACAAAGAAAATCCCCCAAAGAAAAACAAATCAAAACAAAACAGGAGTGACTTCAAGGATAAGGAACCATCCAACCCCACCTCCAGGTCCTTTCTTCAAATACATCCCCACTGGGTTTTCCCAAATGGTTGGTTCACATCGTTGGTCTGCCCTCCCTTTGAATATCCAGCCACACTGCGGGGCAGAGGAGAGCATTTCCTCTAAATGAAAACACAATTTTGCTTTTATTTCCTGGGATGATGAACCCCCAGCACCCTGCCTTCCCTTTCTCCCCAGCTGTGGTGGGAAGCACCATTATTAAAAGCAGCAGGAACATCCTAAAGCCCTGCCTTGGTTTTGCTGCTTTGCGGTGAGATATTGCCTTCACTCCCTCTCATGCCTCGATGGCCTGTTCTTGAAGGGACTTGTCCAGGCAGGTTATTTTTCCACCCTCCGGGAATGCTGGGTCACGGGGCAGAGAGAGGATGGCTGGATCCTTGTCCAAGATCTCTGTAGTGAGGGCAGCTTCGTTGGGTTACAGACGAATAAAAACACACCAAAAAGGCATGGCTCCATTTTGAATCTGAAGGCTGGGCCCCAGACAGCGAGTGGCTCTTCCCCTGCAGTATGTCTCTCCCTAGCAGCGGGCTTCTTGGTGCTAGCTGTTGTTCTCGGCCGTGAGATATTTCAGGGCAGCAAAGCCATAGCGGCGTGACATGTCCTGCTGAAACTCTTCCTTCAGGGTTTTGAGACAGATGCGGTATTGCTTGTTGGAACGGAACTTGGTAATGTCGAAGCTGGGGGCATGAGGCATGTGGATCATATAGGCATTGGGCAGCACAGTGAATTCATATTCCTGGAAGAAGACAAGAGCAGCGTGAGAACTTGCCGAAACCCTTGTCATGCATGGGGAAGGCGCGAGTAAATGACTGAATGACTCGTGAATGAATGACCTGGAGAATGACACCCATAAGCAGGGCAGCACATAAACAGCACAACAGCTTTGGGATGTGACAGTTCAGTGCTGCCATCTCCATAACCTTGGATGAAATACTTGGCTTCTCTGACCCTTTGTGTCTTCATCTATACAGTGAAAGTAATAGCATCTATCTTGAAGGATGAAATCAATAACGTAGAGACTGTGCTGAGCAGAGCTCACAGCTATAAAATGTTCTTGATAAATGTGAGCTCACACCCTTGTGGACACTCAACAATAACACAAGCCACGGGATAGTCTCTTGCACAATTAACTGACAGCTGCTTATGGGAACCCTCATAGGACCTGAGATTTGACAGCCTCACCAGACTAGTATAAGAGGAGACAGAAAAGAATAAAAGATGAAAGTAAAAACAAATGTTCTATTGGACTGAAGCTCATCAAGAACAAACCTTTCCCTGATATGTCCTTATCACAAGTCATACCACCAGACAGTATCCTCACTTGGTAGAAAACAGCAAAATACTCAGGCCAAAAAGAAAAGGCCTCTGAACACCAAAATAGGAGACATCCATTTAGATTACGTAACTCAGAGGAGGACCCTGAACCTAAGCTTTCACTCAGATCTATTTACTCTGCTTTTTGGATATGATGTTGATAAGCTTTGGCCATCTAGTTTGCTAGTCCAAAGCAGATGAGAAATTGGAAAAACTGGGATGGGAAAAGGTAGCTGTTACAGGTAGAATAATACTGACAGCAGCAAGAAATAACAGTTGCTGGTGAGAAATGAGTGAGAAAAACCACAAAAAGAAAATATCAGACCTCCCAGTGCAACTGTCTGGAACATCTCCCAGAGGGACAAGGAGACAAGGAACCCTACCAATCCCACTAGCTCCCACAGTTGTGGCTGTACTACCAGTCATGTGTGTGCTCATAATTTCCTCAGCTCACTGGAAAGGCTCAAATTATGTTTGGCATGTGCTATTGGCAAAGAAAGGGAAAATGCAACACCATTTCAAGAGTTTTGTCAAAACTGCCTAAAAGAAACAAAGCCCAGGTCTCAGTGCTAGAAAATTTATTTATTTATTTATTTTAGGAAGGTAGATATTAAAGGAAAGGTACGTTGTGAAGGGCACGGTGGGCAGGACAACAGCAAGAAGATCTGGTGTCTGCTGCTTGCGCTGGCAAATTTAACCAGTTCTTTGAACTAGCTCGCCTCACAGCACTGCTGGGCTCATGAATATGACACTTCTTTCAAGCACAAGCTGAGGCCGACTAACCATTGTTGCCTGGGAGCAGCACTGTACTCGCTCCAAGTATTGGTGGAAGCATGGATACTAACGGTCATGCTCTCTGTTGTTAAACATGATCACTATTCTACACTATCTACATAAGCAGTTCTTAGCCCTAGTGGTTCTCAATTCCCTGGACTGCTTTCAAACATTCTGCAAGTGTTGGAAAGTTCTGGTGATGCCCATGAATGGCCAACACTGAGTATCTCTATCTCTCTATCTCCTCTATGAATTTTTTTTTTAACTAAGTTAAAAAATATCCCCATGTGTTTCATGTTCCACTAAACTCTACTGCTGTATAAATAACTTCATCATCATCAAACTTTAAATAAAGATTCTAGTTAGGGTATTCAGTCCATCCCATCCACTCACTACCTATTGTTTAAATAATAAATTGGAAGTGCTCTTGTTGAGAAATATTTACACTGTGCTCCAGGAGGTGGCGCCTTAGAAAAGAGCACACAGAGAGAAAAAGAGAAGGCTGGAGGACCCAGGCGTCCTTCTAACTTAACCAGAGAGCTTTGCATTTGTTTGTCTAACACAGGGGTTGACAAACTACGGCTGTCTGGCCTACTGCATAGTTTTGTAAATAAAGTTTTACTGAGACACAATCACGTCCACTCATTTAAAGACTGTCTACAACTTAACGTCAAGGGCAGAACTGAGTAGCTGAAAGGAGACCCATAGGTCCTATAAAGTCCAAAATATTTGCTATCTGGTCCTTTACAAAAGTTTGCTAATATCTGGTTTCACCTATTAGAATTCTGCAGATTTCTTTTGAAGTAGGTGCTTGGTAAGTATCAGTTGAACGAATAAACAGGGTCATGACAAAACAGTCTAAAAACAGTCCTCTTTTAGTTAAAGGGTAGAAAATAAAAGATTAAAGGAAAGATACATTGTGAAGGGCACAATGGGCAGGACATCTTAGTGATATGCATTGTACCATTTAAATGGAATTCTAAGGAGGCTTTGTGTTAATTAGGCAACTCCAAGGCCAAATGGTGAATGTCATCCTTTGCTTGTCTTCGTCACTGTGTTAGGTGAGGATGAGGAGGAAAAATGGTTTGTCACATTTGCCTAGGTCCTTGCCAGGAACCTGACTCTCACTGAAGGGTAGATGAAAGAGCAATGGTTTGTGATCAATAGTCCCAAGGACTGCCATATTCTCAGTCTAGGTCCCTGAACACATCTTGTTCCCTCTTAGGCCTCTGCTCCCCACACCCCACTGCACAGGTAGATGTTCCATTCTTCTCACCTGCGCATCCAGTTCCATGATATGAGCCACCTTGTTCCAGCCAAAGCCCACAAACCTCCGGTCATACTCAGGGCAGTCACGTCTCACAACAACATACGGCTCAAAATCAGCCTCCCACTCGACCCGGTAAGGCGTGGTGGCAGTCCGCCACTTGGCGAAATTTGTGGGTGCGTGGCCTTTCGTCCAGACGTGGTACCTGGGACACATGGAGAAAAGCCATTAAGTGGAGGGAAGGAAGGCAAGCTTTCCAACCCGGTTGATTTGGCTGATGTTATCCTCATGGTGGAGTGAATTACATCTTTCCCAAAGCTATGTTCAAGTCCCAACCTCCAGCCCCTGTGAATGGGACCTATTTGGGAACAGGGTCTTTGCAGATGCAATCGTGTTAAGATGAGATCACAGTGGATTAGGATGGGTGCTAATCCAACAACTAGTATCTTTATAAGGAAGAAATTTGAACACAGGATGTGCAGATATAGGCAGAGACTGAAATGACGATGCATCTACATGCCAAAGAATACCAAAGACTGCTGGCAACCACCAAAAAGGCAGAAAAAGGCAAGGAAGAATTCCTCCCCAGAGTCTTTGGAGGAAGCAGGGACCTGTCAACACCTTGATCTTGGGCTTCTGGCCTCCATAACTGTGACAGAATAAGTTTTTGTGTTTAAGGTCCCCAGTTTGTAGCATTTTGTTGTAGCAGCCACAGAAAACTAATCAGTCAGTTACATCCTTCACTAATGAGGAGTCTCTCATTACGTAAAGGTGACTCCTGGAGTGCTCTGGTCAGTTACATGGAACTAATTGCAGGCTGACCTGCTTTACAGTCATTCCTGCCAAAGACCATGGTGGCACACAGAAGTATAAGATGGCCCTCCATGACCCTCACCCTGTATGTTCTCCCCCTTGAGGCAGAACCTGTGAGAATGTATGATATCACTCCCGGATTATGTTGCATGCTATGGAAAAGGGATTTTTATAGATATAATTAAGGTTACTAATCTGTTGACCTTGGATTAATTGAAAGGGAGACTTTTGGGGTGAAGACCCAATCACGTGGCCCTTTACATCTGGATCTGGAACAATGCAAACAGCCATGTTGGGAGCTGCCTATGGGGGCCATATGGCAAGAACTAGATTCCAAGAGCTGGAGCTGAGAGTGCTTCCTGGCCAAAAGCCAGCAGGAAAAAGGAACCTTGGACTTACAACTGCAAAAAAAAAAAAAGGAATCCTGCTGACAACCAGTGAGCTAGGAAGAGGGCTACATGCCACTTGCTCCAGAGAACTGCAGCTTTGTCACCTCTTCATTTCAGTCTGGCGAGAATCCAGCCATTCCATGCCCAGATCTCTGACCCCCAGAGACAGTGAGATCATGAATTTGTGTTGTTTTATGTTGCTACGTTGCAGTAACTTGTCATACAGCAATAGAAAATGAATATAGTCATAAAACTACAAGAAGAAGCAACTAATACTTATCAACCATTCACTATATACTGGGACTATTTTTAACATTTTATATATATGTATATGTATTGTTTTAAAGTCTTATAACTTACTCAGTGTCAAGTAGAGATGGGTTTCAAATCCAGGTAGCCTGCCTCAAAGGCCAGGATCCTCCTTAACTACTTGCTGGGTTACCTCTCTTACATGTCACTGTCCCCCACACTCTCTGGTCTATCAAACGAGTACTCAACTATTGTGCACTAAATTGAATGAATGAATGAATGAGTAACCTAACATGGCAGCTACTTAAGATGGAGGCCCATGAGTTGGACAGGAATTTGCCTCTGGAAACTAGAGAGAGACAGCAGGAAGCTAGGCATCTAGAATGGAGTAGACAGGGCCCAAGAGAAAGGAGTTAGGGGATGTGGTATCCAGCGCCAGAAAGAAAAGCTTCATGAGATGAAAGCAAGACAGGAGGTGGAAACTCAGCTCAGCTGTAGCAAGAAAGGAGCTCCTGGGTTCTACCTGATCCTTCAGAAAGACTCTCTAAAGCAAGGGTGTGGGGGAGCTCTAACTGAGAATGTTTCATGTGGCCAGTGGGGTACTTTTTGGTAGGAAACACAGCTGCTTCCTTATTTTGCCCTTTCGCTACTGAGGTGGATTTTACTGGTATCCTCAGGGAACCAGCCAGTATGGCTGAATGGGCACTGGCCAATGGGTGGACTTTCAAGTTGTGCTGTGGGTGAGATGGCCGGGCTGAGGAAGGCAGGGACTCGAATCTCAGCTCCATCAATGTAGCACTTCCACCAAAATCAAAGTCACATAAATGGAAAAAAAAAAAAAATAAAAGGCTGAGCAATGTCACTTTAATGGAGTGTGAAAAGAGAGAGAAACTGAGAAATTGCCAGCCTTGGGTCTAATCCAAAAATAGGCCAAGAAGCAGCTGCTTTTCCACTTGTGAACTTGCTGAGCAGGCAACCTCAACACCTGAAGCCTCGGACAGAACTGGCATAGCACAACCCGTGGCCGTGAACCTGTCTTAGGTTCAAAGCATGGCACAGTGATGCCATCAGGTCAGGGTTCAAATCCTATCTCTGTCACTTAGGAGCTGAGGACTCCGCAGAACAATATACAGTAATTCCTCAAGGAAAAAAAGAGAGAGAGAGAGAGAGGAGAAAATTCTCCTTATTAGTCCTCTATTTGACCCCCAAATACTATGTCTATTTCTAATGGTCTTGTTCTTGGTGATACTGATAGACTTATTTGTCTTCCATCTTTAGAATCTAAACTCTTGGCCTATTATAATATGAAAAAGAAGGAAAGAGAAGCTAAAGTCAGGGACAGGTGGATCAGTCTGTTCATCTGGCCAGGGAGGTGGCTTCCATTAGCTCAGCATGGACATGGACAATATGCTGAGTGGCCGGGCAGCACAGGGTACAGTGAAGTTACAGCTGACTTGCTGTCCAAACAAATCCGAGCCTGAAAATGACTCGAGGAACCCATTGTCAGTTCAGCAGACACTGGACTTCAGGGGCTGCTTTCTGAAACCAGCAATACCAGGTAGCCTTCCCCCTGCCATGCCCCCCAAAAGTAGATGAGACGATGAGAGAGATTTCCTGGGTGTACTTTATTGAGGAGAAAATATTTGGGAAGTACTTTGTTTTGAGCAGTGGTTCTCAAATTTCAGTGTGCATCAGAATCATCTGGAAGATTGGTTTAGCCCTGGAGTTCCTGAAGCAGGAGTTCTGGGCATTTCTAACAAGTTCCCAAGTGATGCTGAAGCTACAGGTGCAGGGACCACATTCTGAGAACCACTGCCCTAGAGGACATGTTGGGGTGTAGATACTCTTGTTCCAGGCACGGTGGGAAGTAGGTTTTAGCTGCTTGAAGGCTTTAGAGTTCCTTATTTGGTGAGCAGGTGACAAAAACAATTTCTCAGAGGGAAGGTCTGTAATTTAGCACTTGGAATGACAGCTTGCAAGCTGCTGGCCAGAGCAGCAATCACAAACACAGCAGCCCAAACCCCAACTCTCGTGCCCATGGTTGGGGCATCAAAATGAGTTCTCAATTAATCTAGGGATGGAGATGAAAGGAAGAACAGCTTGGAAAGTTGCCAGATGTTCAGCCATCAGGCTGTGGTGTCTGTGGGAGACTCAGACTAAGGTTTGGTATCAAAGCCTCAATTTCCAGAAGAAAGTTTTTACCCTATACCTTCAAACACTGATAAGAAAATCCAGAACCTGGTCAATGGCCTGATAGTATATTGGTTAAGAACACAGGCTTTGTGGTTCCCTTAGACCTGGGCTGAATCCAGCAGGGATGTAGACATTCTAGTCTTCTACCTGGACACATAATATCCAACTCTGTCATTTGCTGGCTGTGTGTCATCCGGCAAGTTACTTAACCTCTCAGAGGCTCAGTTTCATTATCTGTGAAATGGGGATAACAGTATATGCCTCAACTGTGGGGATGAAATATATCACAGTGCTTGGTACATGTTAAACACTCAATAAATGGCAGTTACTCTTTCTTTATGAAAAGACAGAAAGCTTGGGCTGTGGGGTATTAACTCTTTCAGGTCACTTTCCAGAATTCCAGATAGAGGAAGGAGGCTGGAGTTAGAATTCTGACTCAACCAGGACCTCTCGATGCCTCAGTTTTTTCATCTGTACAAAACATGAAAAATGATAACCTCTCAATTGCTGAATGAATAACATACCTCACAGAGTTTTTTTTTCACAAGATAAAGTTTGTTTGAGAAAACTTTTTAGAAACTTAATATTGGTATGGAATCCCAAGTTGTTATGACTATAATCTTTCCAGTAACATTTTGATTACCTGGAGATCTATACTTTTTAGCTCAAAGGCAGTTTTGGCTATTCTTATATCATTCAAAATGGAGGCCTCACTTTAAAACAGGAGCATATATAAGGTGATCTTGAACAATTATAATGCTATAAGAAAGTGACTGGCAGTAGTGGAAAACAGTCAGGGGAGGGGGGTTGGGACTGGCAGTTGAGGGAAACTGCTAGGGGAGGGAGGGGCGTACCTCATCAAGAAGGGTACCTGCATGATCAGTGTTTGTATACCTAACCCTGAATTGTACCCCACATCTTTATAATAAATAAATAAATAAAAAATAAAAAAGAATATATACTAAAAAAACAAAAACAAAAAAAACAGGGGCAGGCAGAAGCACCGGCTCTCCCTTCAGACCACTCCATTAAGAGACCCAGTAGGACGCCTATTTCCCTCCCTGTCCACCTAATTGCCACACTTGACTCTGCAGCCTAGAGATGGAACCTGTTTGCACCCATGCGGTCGTACAGATTCTGGGGCAGTGACAGGGGTGCTCCGGATGGGTGATGCGGGGCAGTGCCCTGAAACGTTCTTGCAGGACTTAGGGGACTGGGAAAGAAGGAAAGTGAGGGTTCTGTTTGCAGCTGTCACTCAGGCCAGCAAGTCAGCTGCCCCATCTGCTGGGTGCAACTTTGGAGTTACCTTGATGACTTTATGTTGCTGAAGCAACTGATGCACAACCCAGGCCTGGGCGGGGGGTGGGGGGGGGTTGGCAAGAACAGATCACTCACCCCAAGAAGAGGGAAACCCCACCATGGCACTAATAGAATGAAACCCACTTACCAAAGGAATGAATGGGCAAGCACATAAAAGAGAGAATAAGCTTAATCTCTTACCCAACATGCCTACTCTTCCATCTGGACACACAATATCTGTCCTCCACGTACAAAAATGTACATGGGATGTGGGAGGAGAGAGAAGATTCCAAAAACGCTCTTTGGGGTGAGTGGTGCTGTTTTGGCGTCACATGGACTAAGGCTGGCAACAAACTTCCGGGCTAACAGCTTTGGTGTCCGGGTTTCCCAGGAGAGAGAAGACATCTGGTGTGCTCCCAGAAGTCAGCAGCAAGGACTACTCACCTGAATGTGAAGAGGGTCCCCATGTCCAGCATGGATAGCAACTCTGCTTTTGACTTGGGGAAAGAGAGACGGTAGCGCAGCGTCTCAAACGCAGGGACGATCATTGCTTTCTTGGTGTTGGCGAGGTCGAGCTGGATGACAGACTTCCTGAAAAGAAGAGGCAGAAAGAGAGATGGGGCCCTGTGACACCAGGCCAAAGCCTTTCCCCCATGAGGGCAGAGCGGTGGCTGGCCCAGGGAGGCATGGGAGGGAAAGTAGGTCAATCTCTCAGTTTAAGAAGGAGAAATGGAAGCCCCAGGAAGTGAGGTCACTTGCTAAGCTCAGGGAGTCCAGTGTGGAGTGGGATCTCCCCACACCACCTGTTTGTAGTGTGTGCTTCTGCCAGAGTCAAGCATGGAAGGAAGGTCTCAAAGGACCCCCAGGGATTGAAGCCCTGCTTGCTGGGTTCCCCAGGCTGGTCAGCTACTCCTACTGCACCACTGGCCCCACGAGAGCAGCTGCACAGAAAGCCAATGAGAGAACCACCAACCTGGGCCTTTACAGGTTCTCTTTTCAACCCCTTGAGCCTTCCAGACCCTGAGCCTTTAAAGTAGCCAGAGCCACCCCATGCAGCCAGTGCCGGGTAAGACAGAGTTCTGATATTCTGCCTGGTGAAAAGCCCTCTATCACCTGGTCGACTCCCACCTTTGTAACTGGCCTTCTGCTCTGCTTTGAGACCCAGCTCCTGCCCCTCTGGCTTTGTGGTCATTTCCCGGCTCTGTGGCCATCACTTGGAAAGGGAAAAAAGCTCAGAGAGGGCTGTACAATATGAGGCTTTACATGAACACAGACTGGATTTGGACCCTGGCAATGTTGCTTTATGAGTCCTGTCTTCCTGAGTAAGCCATTTAGCTTCTCACTACCCCTGGTTCTTCCTTGCTAAGATGACAGCAATAATGTCTACCTGCTGGAGTTGCCGTGAAGACTGAGCAAGGTTACTATCATACCACTTGGTACAGCAGGCCAAGGGAAGGCAAAGCTGTGACATGCAGTCACTTAGTGCTATTGTGACCCCCTGGCTTGATCTTCTATGATCTCTTTTGACTAGGACCTTGTAACTTCATTCTGGCCTTCTGCTCAGACAACTGACCTCTGGGTCTCCTCGCCATCATGGGCTCCCGGCTTCTACCTCTGAAACAGAGAAAGCAGACTCCCTTGGGGCAATGGTAGGCATTGGAAGACATTTTGAAAGATACTGGAAGCAGCAGTCTCCTGTGGCCACACAACTGTTAACTGATGCACTATTAAAGTCATGTCACTCAACAAAACTTCAAGGCTATGCATAAGCAGGGACTAGGGCTGGTGTGCAAAGTGTGATCATACTCTAGGGAAGTGATCATGTCAGCCCAGGCCCATGTGGGACAAGAACCGAGTGACAGACCAAGAAAGTCATCGGTAGGGCTTGGTATCACTGAATGATGAGGAAGATTCTGGACTAGGTCAGAATAAGGACAGTTTTCTGAAGCCACTCCTGGCTACAAGGACTCACTAGGTCCCTGTGGAGAGGAGTGGTGAAGAGATGGATTGAAAGTTCATTTGGCACCTTGTGAATACCACTGTAATTCACTCTTCAACATGGTGCTTAAGTTAACTGTCTACTAAATGATACGTAGCCCTCATGCCACTATTTCAGAGGAGGTTCATAAAGGGTGACAGCAAAATGGAACATGGGTGAGCTATACTCAGCCAGTCTGACGGTCAGAGTTTGAGACAGCCGGTTCTGGCCTGTGTTCCTCTCCCTCTTTGTCTGTCTGAACAATAACATCCGTTTTCAAATGCCCACAATGCTCTCCTTTGTGGTCAGGTATCCAGTACAAGCTAACATTTTCTATCAATTGTATACTGGATATGGGCAGAGTTGGGCTCTTCACCTTGCCCCCTGGAAAGATGTGGACCTTATCCATTAATTCTGGATGTTGGGGGTAGCACATATGGGTCCAAGGAATATCCTTAAACCAAGACAGCAAAGCCCCTGGAACCCTGGAGTGATGAGGAAGGTGTCTCAGTACTGGTGGTTGCTTCTCATTCAACAATCACTGAGTGCCTACAATGTGCCAGGCATTTACATCTCAGGATGCTAGAAGCCTAAGGACAAGCATCTTTAAATTACGACCAAAGATTGCATTTGCAGATTTTAGGAAATGAATGAAGGCTGCAGGGGCTGAACTATGAGGGAAATGGGCAAAATATACATACATGTATATCCATATACATGGTAGATCCATCTATAAATGCTTTATCTAAGCCTTCAATTATAATTATAATCACAGTTATTGTAGTAACTCCTTCTTGCAGAATGATTCCCACTAGAAAATAATTCTCCCTTCGATGAGGGGAACTTGTCCCTATACACAAGTGTGGCTCTCCCAGCGTTGTGCCTGTCCTTACTGAAGTCCCAGTCAGGGTAGGTTGTTTAGGGGTAGACAGCTGACTCAAGCTAAGCAAATCAGTTTTTTTTTACCCTTGGGAATCTGAACAGACATACAGAGACTGGGAAACCACACGGCTGACCTGCAGTGATATCAGACAATGCTCCAGTCTTCTGAATTCTGCACAGGGGCTCAGAGCTGCCCTGGTTGAATTGGTTTTCCAAGTCCCACTTTGATTCCGTAAGATAAATCACCAACTGTGATTTGTTTTGTCTTCCTCTGATTTCTTTGTATTTTTATTAAGCTACCTAGCATTAGTTTCTGTTACTTGTGATTCAGAAACCCTAATGGATAACATTTGCAAGGCCCACAGTAAACAGACCTGGTAAGCAGCATGCCTTGCAAATGTCCCTAGGCATAGACAGCATCAGATTCTGAAGTGCTTTCTGCAAATTCCCTTTAATCTCACTAAAATACAAACTGCCACAAAGATGGATTTGTCACCAGATAGGTCCATTTCAGACTCAGTTTAATACTGATGTCCTGAAAAGGTTTCATTATGGAGTTGTTTTGGCAATAAAGTGGTTACAGTGTAGAAATTCTCAGTACATCTGTGGGTAAAGAAGGCAGCGACGGCCTGGGTCCTTTTGCACTGTGTTCTGTTAGTACATCTTACTTCAGTTGGGGCTTGCTGACCTAGGGGTGAACAATTCGCAGCCTTTATTTTCCAGAAAGCGAGTCCTGCAGGAGATGGAGTTTTTTAAGTGCAGAATCTTCCAGGAGCAGAGAAGCAGGACGGTGAGTGAGAAAGCTGGACTGGAACGAAGAGATCCGAGTCTAGGTCCAGCCCCGACCTAGACTTTGGATCACTTCATTCATCTCTCTTAGATGGCTAAATCTAGATTATTAAAACTGAAGTTTTGGAAGGCAATCTAGTGTGGTGGTCACCAAAGAAACCTGGCTTCCAGCTCTGACTACTCCAGGGCTTGCCCTCGGGCAAGTCACTCTAACCACTCTGAGTCTCAGAGTTCAGGCACTTGCAAAACATGTTAGGGAGAGCAGAGTACTTATAGAAGCGCCTGGTACAATGTCTGGCACACATTAAGCACGGGGTACGTGCTGTCAATGATGGTTAATTTCATGTGTCAAATAAGCCAGGCTAGAGTACCCAGTTGCTTGATCACACACTAGTCTAGATGTTGCTGTGCCGCTATTTTGGAGGTGTCATTAACATCTACAATCAAGCCGGGCTTGGTGGCTCAGCCTGTAATCCCACGCCTTTGGGAAGCTGAGGTGAGTGGATTGCCTGAGCCCACGGGTTCGAGACCTGCCTGGGCAGCGAGACCTCATCTCTACAATAGATCAAAAAATTAGCTGGGCTTTGTAGCGCACACCTGAAATTCCGGCTACTGGGAAGGCTGAGGTGGAAGGATCGCCAGAGCCCAGCAGGTCGAGGCTGCGGTGGCCGGTAGTGGCCATTGCACTCCAGTCTGGGTAAGAGAGTGAGACTCCAACTCAAAAGAAAAAAACAAAAAAAACCCATCTACAATCAGGCTGGGTGTAGTGACATATATCTATAGTTCTGGCTACTTGGAAGGCTGAGGCGGAAGATCACCTGAGCCCAGCAGGTTGAGGTTGTGGTGGCTATGAACATGACATTGCACTCAGTCCAGACAGAGTGACTCTGATAAAAAAAGAAAAAAATCTACAATCCATTGACTTTAAGGGACGAAGATTACAGCAAACAAATGGAGCATTTCCAGTAAAGAAGGAATTTTGCATTAGGACAGAAACATAGACATACTGCCTCAGTTTCTAGCCTACTGGTCTGCACTGTGGATTTCAGACTTGCCAGTCCCACAACTATATGAGCCAATTCCTTAAAATCGTTCCCCTATATACACTAATATCTATTAATAGACATATCACTATCTATCTATACCAACATCTCACACACACACACACACACACACACACACACACACACACACACACACACACACACACAGCATCTATATACCGCCTCTTGGCTCTGTTTCTCTGGAAAACCCCAAGTAATCCATTGCCCTGGCTTCTTGTCCAAGACTGCTGCAAAAACATTCACAAACCTACTACAATATTTTAGACTGAAGAATTCTTTCAAAAAACCACAGGAACCTATTTAAGCAACTCAGGACTCTGCTCATACCATGGAGAACCCTGCAAATATAAGAGACTTGGAGCCAGCCAGTGTGGGCACCTTGCACAACTTCTCCTGTCACAGGCTCTCCATCAGTATATGGGAATAGTAAGTACTTATCTTTTATCTCCCAGGATTCAAAAGCTGGAGGCAGTGCCTGACTTAGAATAACTGATCACTGATTATCACCACCCTGATCATCAGTGTGATGACTGATAATCACTTAATCAGTGTGGTTACTGATAGCCAATTATTCACACTGATAATCAGTGTGAATTACCAAAAACCCAATCAGTTACCATGGCAAGAGAATGGGCGAGAGTGGAAGAGGATTCAGAAAAGATAACATGCTGCTTACGGCTAGGCTGGATTTTTGACTTGCTTGTCTACAGAAGCAGAGCTTATTAGATCTCAGTCCCCAGCCAGCTCTCTGAGGCCTTCTTCGTGTCAAAAACAATTCAGGTGTTCCTCGCAGAGTAAATTCACCTCCTCCAACCTGGCAGGGCTGAACAGCGGGCAACACTGAGCTGGATAGGGTTTATCTTCTGAGACCCTCCAGT